GGGGCTGTAGCTCGGTGCTAGAGCATCTGCCTCCCGTGTGTGAAGCCCTGGCGGGTCCGGCACTGCAGAAACAAACGAGGGAGGAAATGGAGGGTGTGGAGGAAGGAGGAGGAGAAAAGCAGTGAAAAAGTAAATCCAGCACTGAATAACAGTAACAAAAATCATGACCAAGATAGGTTTAGTTTTTGTAAATATTTTAATTGCATTTATTCCTGGTTGTGTAATTTATTCTAATGTAAAAAGTATTTACTTTTTTTTTTGACATGGTATTTTGCTACATTACACAATTTTTTTCTGGACTCTGAATTCCTCCTGACTCAGCCTCTAGAGTAGCTGGGATTATGTAGGTGTGTGCCACAATGCCTGGCTTATTTGCATTTTTGATTAAATTATGAGTGTAGACTATATCAATTTGTGCTTTAGGATGTAACTATAAATTCTTCTTTCTACTGTTTTTAATAGGGTTTAATGTTTTATTTTAGAGGAAGAAAATCTTAGCTGGGCAGGTAGAGGATGCCTGTACTCCTAGTACTCGGGAGGCTGAGGCAGGAGGATAGCTGTGAATTTGAGGCCAGCCTGGGCTACACAGTGAGTTTAAGGCCAGCCTGAACTACATAGTGAGACCTTGTCTCAAAAAACAAAGAAACAAATGAAAGGAAGAAAATATTTTTTAATATGAGAAATTGTAAAACTAGGAATTAGCTATATGCCCTCTACCCATCTCCCCCCCATGTTACCATCTTATATTATAATAGAACAGTTATCAAAATCAATAAATTAATGTTGGTATACCACAGTCAATCTGGGAAGACTAGATTTTGGCATTTTTTTCATAGCTGTCCCTTTTCTCTTCTAGGACCCAGGCCAGGAGCCCACACTGCATAGTTGCTTTGTATCTTTAGTCTTTTCTAATCTGAGCCCTTCCTTGGTCTTTCCTGGCTTGTCATGGCCTTGACACTTGAAAAATACCGCTCAGGTATTTTGTAGATGGTTTCTTGATTTCCATTGGGTGTTTTTTTGTGATTAAATTGAGATCATTGTGTGTGTGTGTGTGTTGGAGGGGGAGGAGAGAGAGAGAGAGAGAGAGAGAGAGAGAGAGAGAGAGAGATCTACACCTGTTATCAGAATATCTTACCAGAAGGTGCATCCTATCAGTTTGTTGTATTCCTTCCTCTATTGATGTATAAGATACAGATAGTTTATTTTTGCTTTTTGTCTATAACTATCCAGGTGTCTCACCACAGTTTATTGAAAAGACTGTTCTTGTCCCATTGAACTGCCTTTGTACTTTGTCAGAAACCTAGACAGGATATGAATGGGTCTGTTTCCGGATCCTTCTCTTTGGTTGATCTGTACATCTCTCCTTTGGGCAGCACCACACTGTCTAGATTACTGTAGATTTGGAAGTAGTTTCAAGTCAGGCATTGTTAATTCTGCTATCTATGTAGTGAGAACCTGTGTCCCATCCCGATTCTCCTGTGCCTCATCTTATCTAACAAGTCTGCTTGGGTTTGTGAGACTCCTTGTTTAACTACCGAGATTCTGCAACTGGGTTGTTAAATGAATTGTTCACTTAAAGAGGATTTGCATATAATAGTGCAATATTCAGAACAAAGAAACGGTCACAAGAAACTCCTGCTTGATAACCTTGCATCTACTTATTTGCATAACTCTTACGTGGAGTAAGAAAGTGTACTGTACTTAAGACATTGAGGCTCTATCAACAAGATCTACAGAACTGTAAAAAAAGATGGTTTGTAAACCTGAGCAACAGTTGTAAGTCTGAACAGCACGCCTCTGTTGTGAGTCCTCAGAGTTAGAGGAGGAATATCTGAATTAGGATTCTATTAACCTGTAGATTTTAACAACGAATCTCTCAGCCTATGAGTATAGTGTCTGTTAAGGTTTATGTCTGGGTGTTTCCACAGAGCCTCATGCAGTCATCGGTGGTGGGTTTTTCAGAGGTGGCTGCATCTAGAGTTTGTGATTGATTCACGGTCCAGTGCTGGCATTGAGGGTGTGAGTGTTACACCCACCCTAAGGCGGGTAGCCCACGTGCAGTATAAGGGAGGAAAAGAGGCCTGCTCTTCCCCCATCTCTCTCTCTGGTTGCTTTTGCTGTCTCCTGCCACCATGAAATTCTGTACCTCTGCCATGCCACCCTGCTTTGGAGCCAGCCAGTTAGGGACTGAAACCTCCACAAACTGTGAGCTACATAAACTGCTCCTCCTTTAACTTCGGGTGTCAGGTATTTTGCTCAGCAGCGAGAGAAAAGTAACAGACTGTGTCTCTCTCCTTTTATTAGTTGCTTACAGTTCTCAGCATACATTTATTTTTGTTTTACTTTGTTTTTGTATTTTAGAGACAGGTTCTCGCTATGTAGTTCAGGCTGGTCTTGAACTCACTGTGTAACCCAGGATGGCCTTTACCTAGTGGTGATCCTCCTGCCTCAGCCTCCCAAGTGTTGGGATTATAGGCGTGTGCCACTGTGCTTGGCCAACATGCATAAACTTTTGTTTTAGATTCATACCTACTTACATACTTTTCATTGCTATTATAAATCATTCTTTTAATTTCTAGTAACAGTTTCATAGTATGTGAGGACAACTGATTTTCATACATTGACCATATCTTTGTGCATTTGTTCAACTCACATATGAGTCCTTATTCGTTCTCTATTGTTTGTAGATTCTGTTGAATTTTCTCTGTAGACAGTTGTGTCAGCTATGAAGAGAAGTGGCTTTGTTTCTTCCTCTTTTCCTTGCCTAGTTGCTGTGGAGGACTCCCATGCTGAGTAGGAGAGATGAGAAGACCCCATGCATCTGACCAAGGCAGAAAGCATGTGTTCTTTCACTATTGAGTTTGATATTAACTGTAGATTTTTGGTTGATCTCCTTCATGAGGTTAAGGAAATTCCCTTGTTTTGTTTTGTTTTCTTTTGAGACAGGGTCTGGCTGTGTAGTCTAGGCTGGCCTTCAACTCACTATGTAGCCTAGCCTGGCCTTCAATTCAATGGGGATTCTCCTGCTTCAGCCTCCTGAGTGCTGGGATTAGAGGTGTGAGCCACCATGCCTGGTGGGAATTTCCTTATATTCTACTTCCCTGGGAATGTTTGGTCATGGATGGGTATCGAATTTTGTGAGATACTTCTCTGTCTTGAGATGCATATTCTTATTCCTTTAATTTTGTCAATATAGTGAAATAAAGTGATTAGTTTTTGAATGCTGAACCAGACTTGCATTTTTGGTGTTTTATTTATTTTACTTTTTTATACAGGGTCTTGCTGTGTAGTTTAGGCTGGCCTTGAACTCACTATGTAGCCCAGGATAGCCTTGAACTTGGGGTGATCCTCTTGCCTCAAGTGCTCAGATTATAGGCATGTGCTACCACACCCAGCTCAGCCTTGTATTTCTGGGATAAACACTACTTGATTATGGCACATTTTCCTTTTTATGTGCTGCTGGGTTCAGTTGGCTGGAGTGAGTGACCTGTGGGTTTTTTTTGTGTTAGTCAACTTTTTCTTGGTGAATACCTGAGAAAAGTAACTTGCAGGGTTATTTTGGCTCATGGTCTTAGAGGGGTCAGTTCATGGTCACTTGACTTTGTTACGTTTGGGCCTGTGGTGAGGCAGGTCTCATGGCGGGAAGCATGTGACAGAGCAGAGTCACTCACCTCATGGCAGACAGGAGTTGAAGGGGGGTGTCCAGGGACAAGATAGAGTCCCCAAGGGCACACCCCCAAGGACTCACTCTTTTCAACTAGGTCCCTCTTTTGAGTTTCCATCACCTCCCAATGGCTGGAAACCATTATGGACCCAACAATGGGTTTATCTGTTGATGGGGCGACCTCCCTCAGGACCTAGTCACTTCTCTAAAGTCCCGCATCTCACCATTGCTGCCTTGAGGACCAAGCCTTGGGCGACATTTTAGTTTTGAACTGTAAAACCTTATGTAAATGAGTCTTGTACAGGCCACTCTGATACATGATTTAGTCAGCTCTGAGTTTTCTAAGAAAATTCCATAGATTGATTGGTAGGCCTAAATGACAGACATTCTGGTTGGGTTATTGATATTGGCCTTTCCAATTTTTTTCTGAACAAACATAAGAAATCAAAAATAATCTGAGAATTTTATAATTCTCCAAAAAGATAATACAATACTGAGCTTTTCTCAGAACTCCTGCATCTCTGTTTTGTGCAGCATCTTTCAGAAGAAACCTTGAGGAATGTTAGAATAAGCGTGAGGTGTCATCTCAAGGCGATCTGGTGACTAATCAGACCTCCGAGATTTGCCTGATGATGAGACACAGTGGCAGAAGAGAATGTATTGTTATGCGTTTGATCATCTACAAAAGTGTATAAAAAGAATAGTTACAGAAGTAAACATCCTTTTCTACCTAAGCATACAGGCAGATTTAGGATGTTCCAGTTCCATGGATCGCAAAAAATACCAGGCTGGGCTCTGGCTGCAGTTTTTCCCTGTTGAACAGAATGAAACTAAGTGTCCGCTATCAGGAGCTTGTTGCAGTTGATCTCCCCCGACTTTTGCTCCTTAGTGGTGGAGGAGAGAAGGTTCCAGATGGAGTTTCTTGGGCATGCCCAGGACTGCATCCGGGGGATCTTGTAGGCCATGAGCGTGGTTTCCAGGCACGAACATTCCAGCTTTCTACACTGACTTTGTGAAATGTTGACCCACATGGTGCCCATGTGGTGGTGGCAGGTTGTCCTGCACTTGTGCCTGTACATTGTTGCCATGTTTCCAAGCAGGAAACAGGGCCCTGTCAGCCAGTACCTGAAGCCGGTCCAGCAGCCAGGAGTTGGGCAGAGGTATTGAATGACCTCTTTATACACCTGTCTGTTAGCTGTCAGGACTCACACCAAGTTGGGAATTACTGTTGTAAACAGTTGGGCTCTAGGGAGGCACCCGCCTGACCTTACGGTTTTATGGCTGGCTGCGAAGATGTTCCAATAGGGGTCCTTAGAGCTTTGCCTCTTGTTCCTAGGCACCACACCAATCCAGTGGGCACAGAGTGGCGGTGGAAGATGGACCAGCCGGAGATGATCCTAAAGGAAGCTGTGGAGAACCATCAGAACATGATTAAACAGTTTAAAGGTATGTATCGTCTCTCTACGGGGGAGTGCCAAGGTCTATTAATAGTTTGAATCAGATTGGCAGAGGAATTGCCCCTTTGGTGGGATTTTATCTCCACTGGAAAATTGTGCTCCAGGGAAGAAAAGTTTCATAGATATATTGTATATATTTTGACCTTCGCATATATACCCCGTTTGATAGAAAAACTGAAAGTTCAGCCCAAAGCTTCACAGCTCTGTGTGGTGTGCTTTTTGCTGTGAGTTTGCTTTAAGATGTACCATTACCCTTCCTAAAAAGCCTTGCTGCTGGCCTTATAAATGGAGTGGCAGTTTTAGGTCATTGGAAAATTCTTAAATAATGTCCGATAGTGAGAAAAAAGAGAAAAAAGAAAAAAAAAAGAAAAAAAACTTGCAGCAAATTTGTTTTGGTATAGATATTCTTAGGCTGCTAACAACATATATGGGCCCAGTAATTAGCATTCTGGAGATCAATTCATTCTTTTATGCAATGCAATTTGTTCCGTTTGGGTTGCTCATTCTTAAGGTTATACTACTTCCTGTGATTATTTTTATTTCTGTTGAAAAATAGAGGAACCATCCACAATAATGTTTGACCAAACATGTGGGTACCATGGCCTGTCCAAATTGACACAAAATTAACCTTCACCCAGTAATATCAGGAGCAGGAAGTGCCAGGAATTTTATCTTTATCTCAATAAGTTTCTTTTTGGTTTAGTGCTTAGAGAGCTGGTTGAACTCTTCACTGGGGGGGCGATGACTGAGGAGGTGTTTCCTGGGCAGCTCGGAGTCCCCTTTGGTGAACTGTGTCCCAGGCAGCTGGTGGCGGGAGGAACCGTCCCGAGGAGCAGGCACTCTTCCGAGTAGAGACTTCCTGGAGAAATCTCCATCCTGAGATGTCCTTGATATGCAATGACAATCAGAGTTTTGACAGTGATTTTTCTGACAGGCGCATTCTTGCAAATTGATTTTAAATGGAAATAAGTAGTGAATAAGTCATGAAGTAGACTCAGTGTGAGCGTTCTTTCTGTGTGCCGGGCTCGCTGGGTGGGGTGGAGTGGGGCGGGTGGTGGCGTCCTGTGCAGAAGAGGGAGTCTAGCTGGTGGCGTGGGCTGACTTTAATCAGCAAGTGTCTCAAATGGCTTCTCTTCAAGTTCCCTCGGTAAACAAACAAGAGTTTTAAAATGCATAGGGTCTTGTAGGAGGAGCCTGCTCACAGCACCGCAGGGAGGGAGAATGCCTGTGAGCAAGTGAATCTTTAGCACGGGTTAGAATCCTAAAGGGGAAGGAAGTGATCCCCACAAATCCACAACTGCCACCCAAGTTTTTCTTTTTTTTTTGTACCGAAGATGGACCTTTGTATTGAGCTACATCCATGACCCTTTTTTATTTTTTAAATTTTGGCAGATGGTTCTGTTAAGTTGCCAACTTACCAAGCTGGGCTCCAACTTGTGATCTTCCTGCCTCAGCTTCCCAGAGTGCAGAATTGCAGGCATGTGCCACCATGCCTGGTAACAGCCACCCATTTTATTCTTAAAAATGATGTTTATAGGTGTCAGTTTTACCCTGGGAATTCCCGCAGATGATTTTCTTTTTTAAACCTTCATTGGCTCACTAGACAAAACTTTATCATTTGTTGTTTTAATCAACAGTGAGTTTGACAGAAAGGTCTTCAAAGTGGAACTATGGATATTTGCAGTCTGACTCTCTTCTGATGAGCAAGTCAGTTTTTCTTTCAGCTCCTAGGAGGCATGGATATGTTTGAAGGTGTGGTAGGTGTAGGCAGGCCAGCACATGCGCATGTGGCGGCCCACTCACTTTATATTTTCACAATGAATTGAGCTCTCTTAGTGTCCAACTTGGGGTGATGTAGTGGCCATTTTTTTAATGCTTTATACTTCATTCTGATTTCAAAAAAGCTACTTTTTGAAAATTTGTCTTATGCTGCAGTAGTCATAGTAAATCTTATTGTAAAACTATAGTATTTGAAAAGAAAAAGTCTGTAATTATTAAAGATTGAGATACATAATTATTAAAGGATGAAATACTTAACTGGTATAACTAATGTCCTTACCAGAATGCTAAAATCACTTAGTATAATAAATAACATCACTCAGTCCCTTGTACGAGTCCTTACCAATGATTGTAGCTTTGTTTTTATGAATTTGAGTTCCTCTTGCAGTAAGTGAAGTCCATGCTCTGTCATTTATCCTCCGGGGACGGGTGTCAGTAAGGTGTAAGTAAGGTCTCCTCCGCTCCGGACAGGTCGACCAGAGTGAGGGTGATGCTGAGGCTGTTGACCATGGACTCCAGGAAGGTTGCTCTCCCTCTTCTGATCTCAGCATCCTCCCCTGGGTACAGGGCCTACATGGATACTGCTGGACTCCTTTGTGTACCGGGGGTTGAACTCGGGGCCTTGTACGTGCTAGGCAAGTGCTGTGCTAGTGAACTACACTCCCAGTCCTTTTTATCTTAAAACACGATTTGCTGACTAGCCAGGTTTGCCTCAGACTTGGGATCCTCCTGACTCAGCCTTTCGAGTTGCTCTGATTACACACTTGCCTACAACGTCTGGAAGGATCCAATTTTGAATTCTGAAGGTGCAGGCGTGTAACTTTAGATAGATTTCATTGTGACCCTTGGAGTCCACACTTCTCAGGGAGGTGGGTCTGGAACAGTGGCTTATCTTGTGCCATTAGAGCTGCTGCCTCCTCGTGCCCCAAGGAGTGCTCTTCCCCTTCTTCCGCACCATGTTGGGGTTTCTTTACCAGAGGCTCCATAGTTTACCTATGTCCCTGTGTGTCCTACACAGAAAACAGAACAAAAACCAGAGCAGGAATACGTGAATACGTGTTTCTAGCTTCCTACTGGAGAAAGTCCTTGAATTTGATGAGGTGATAACAGAATAGATTTATGTTTTAGGCATATAGCAGATTAATTTGGTGCTTGGGGGTTTGCATGGCCATTAATTTCCATTTAAAAATGTGTCTGTGGGAATACAAATTGTAGGCTTAGACAGAAGTGCTTACAATCAGGATTCTTGTACAAATTGGAAAACGCGGGTAATTTTCAAGGGCTTGAAGCTGTTTCCCCCTTGCCTTGTACATGTTGGATGGTCCCACCTTGCCCTCTCTCCCCAGGCCGCTGCTGCGGCTGGCCTGCAGTCTCCTGCGCTCTGGCTCGGAGTCCCGCGCGTCCTGGAGGGCCTTCCCGCTCTGAGGAGCACCTGCTGTCCCTCGGGGCCGATTCAGTCATTTTACCGTCCTATTTTGGAGGAGAGGACTGGGTATGAGTATTGTTGCTCATTGTCTCCGAATTTCCGGCTTCAGCTAAGTGGCCGGCCTTGCACGGATTTTGAAGATCTCCTCTAATTTTCTAAATGCTTCCCTTTTGGGCTGCTGTTCTCCGTTCTGCAGGCAATCATTGTCTCTTCAGTTATTTCCTGCATCATTAGAGTATCTTCTTCTCGTGACCTGTATTAGCCATCCCCTTGTACACATACAGAATTAACTGGATATTGATTAAAAGTGGGTCAGAACCGCAGCGCAACTCAGCAGCTTTTTAGAGCGCTGCCTGCCCCCCTCAGTCCTCTGGTGGCAGCCAGAAAGAGTCCTGGAGAAGCGACGCGGCAGGCACCAGGCCGCTGAGCGCCCTGTCAGCAGTGTCCTTGGTCCTGAGATGGCAAAGACATCATTTGTTGCTAGGTGGTTTTTAAAATCTATACTTCAAGAAAAAGAGGCCCTCTAGCCCGATGGTTTCACAGACTGTGTGTACCAGAGCACACATCGCAAGGACTGTGGAGCGAGGGAGACCGCGCCGCCCCTCATTGTTTCCTGCAGAACCTCAGAAGTGTCCCAATCAAGTATGCACGCTTTCAGCCAGGAAGGGCTCCTGGGGACATTGTTGACTAGGAATTACATTGGCAGGAGAAGAAAGAAGAGAAGAACTTACTATTGGTTACCTAAACGTTAGCAGTAGGGATCCTACATGCTGAGCAATGTGTTGTATTTTTTAATGTGTTAGTACATGTGGCTTAGTGCTTTGACAGGAGGATGGAAGTTCTGGACTCCGAAGTTCTTGAATAATACTGAGATACAGGCTGCTTCTTGGTTGATCTGATGGCAGTAGTTGTGATAGTCAGGATCAGGAAGCTGTTCTGGTTAAAAGAAGCCCCAGGAAAGTTGCTTAACAAGAAAAAAAAATGGAACAAAAATACAGAGTTCAGTTATGAGAGGGTTAAGATTTGGGAAATAAGTATGGAGCAGGTATGTGTGTATGTGTGTGAGAGAGAGAGAGACAGATAGACAGAAGAGCCCCTTCGCAAAGCCTGCCACGTCTCTCAGGTGCCTTGGACGTGTCAGGACCCCACCCGGGATCGCCCTCCCCTCTTGATTCTTGGCCCACTCCCTCATCTCCTTCTGGCCTTCGCTCACCTTTTCAGGAAGGCTTATGCTGACCACCCCGGGGACGGGGCAGCCCGCCTCTTCTGCTCGCATCCCGCATCTTCTCGACGCTGCTTGCCTTTTTTGTTGCAGGGGCTCATGGCCTTCTAACATACTACCAGAGTGCGTGACCAGTGTGGGAGCCCTCAGCTGTGTGTGGCCTTTCACATTTAAATTCATGTAAATAAAATAAAAAATTCTCTTTTTCATTCCCACTGGGCACATTTCAGGGTCTCACTGTTCACATGTAGTCAGTGGCTACTCCTGTGTTTCTCTGAAAATATGACCTACTGGAAAGTAATCAGCCTCGAAAACTGGAGATCGGAATGGCCAGCCCCACTCAGCCCCTCTTTGCCTGACCTGCCATCGCTATTGTCTTGCCCAGGGGCTGCTCTCTACGGCAGTTTGGGCAAGGATAGGTTGGCTGGGGCTGGCATTTTTCATCTCCCAAGTTTCAAGGCTGATTATTTTCTGGCTAGGTCTTCTTTTCAGGAAAAGAGGGTGTATTCGTGCACAGCGAGTGAACATTTTCATCACTGCAGAAAGCTCTTTTGCTTTATTGCTCTGCTGTAGAATTTCCTGATTTATTATGTTGAAAGCTTATTCTGTGTGTCTCACTGGCTAGAATGCAGACAGCCCCGAGGCTCACCTTAGTGCTTGGCGCATAGTAGCAGGTGATCAGTCCATATTCATTTAATGGAGTGGAATTACTGTTTCCTTGAAAGTAATTAAAATACTTGAATTTCTTTTTCAATTTACAAAATGAAAATATTTGTAGGTAACATTTTTGTTTTGAATATCGGTGTATCGGGGCCAGGCATTATCACACTAAGTGTTTCATGTTTCTTATTTAACTTAATTCTTGTAATAGCTCCGTGTGTGTGTGTGTGTGTGTGTGTGTGTGTGTGTGTGTGAGTGAGATCACCTTTTTGAATCTTAAGGGGAGACTCCCCACAAAGACTGTAAACATTATGTACTGTAAACATATACTAATAAAGAAAATGATCTAGAAAAAAAAATTAAAGAGAACATGAAAGACTTGAGCAAGGACACAGACCTGGCTTCATGTCAGAGGTGGAGTTGGAACCCAGTGCCTCAGACTTCGTTGGCCAGGGCCTGGCTGATGCTTAACTTAATTCTGCATTGAGTGTGAGGTTAGTGCTAGAGTTCAGAATAACCTACCCTCCCATTCAGCTGCTCACGGGGATTTAAAGTTAATGATACTTCTCACCAAGAGGAAATTTTATGCTCAGTGCTGAGTTGTCTTGGTAACAGAGTGAGTTTAAGGATCAAGTTTTATTTAAAACCTTGATTCGGTTAAGATTGTGGATTTTAAAAACCTAAAAAATGGTTCATCCAAAAATGCTGCTGTGAAATGCATTCTTAGAATTTGCAGTTACACAGTCATGTGAGAAGGTCCCACTTGTCCCTTGCAGATGGCCCTGATTTCAGCCTGTTCCATATAGCCTTGGCTTGATAGTGTGGGTTTTGGGATAGGGTCTCACTATGTAGTGCAGGCTGGCCTTGAACTCCTATGTAGCCCAGGCTGGCCTCAAACTCACGGCAATCCTCCCGCCTCAGCCTCCTGAGTGCTGTGTAGGTATTTATTTTTGCTTGCTCATTTCTCAGTAGGTTTTACATGTGTATGTATGAAATAAAGTCTCTTCCTGAAGACTGAGGAACAGCCGGGCAGTGAGAGTTAACTCTGTCACCCTCAGGGTCTCTGCTGTTGGCCAGTGGTATCACTCACGGATATGGTTAATTGTGATTATTGATTAGTAATCGTGAACTTTAATAAACCAGAGTAAAGACAATAAAGTCAAATCCTTAATGAATATTTCCTGTATTCCAAAGATCAGCCAGACCACAAATTTCTCTGTGGTAGGCACTGTTCGCAGTAATTTTTGAAGGAAATTCAGCTTCAGAGATGTCTAAGGAGTGACTCGGAGGGACTCTGAGCACGATTCTCTTCCACCTCCAAGCTCCAGGAGGAGTTGGTGTCTTTCAGAGAGAATGCATTCTTCCCGAGGAGCCTAGGGTTTGTGGAGTTCGAAGTCCCTGGTGAAAGGAGATGCGTCTGTATTTGCCTGCTGGCCTTCCACATTCTGTAGTTGTCTTGGGGCGTCATAGGACGATCTGCCCGACTGTCCTCTCCATCTGGAAGAGAGCCGTGCTTGTCACACACCCTGTTGTGCACTGGAATCGTAAGGGAGCGCGCACACAGCCCTGAGCCTGAGTCCCGTCCCTAGAGCTATGACTCTGATTTGGGAAATGGCCTGGGCATGGATTGTCAGGGAAGTGCCCATCCGCCTGGGCTTGGGACACTGGTGTGTGCAAGTGGTTGCCAAGCTTGTCTTCCTGCGGCGTCCCTGGGAAGCCCAAAACCTGCTGATGCCTGTGCTTTCCTTGGTCTCAGCTGTAGCCAGGATTTTGGAAGTTTTAACATGCCCGAGTGAGTTTAATGTGCAGGCAAGTTTGGGGTGCTGTAGTCCATGTGGTGGTTTCCAACTTTGGTTGTATATTAGAATCACTTGCTGAACTGGGTTTTTGTTATTTGTTTCCTTTTTTTCTTTCTCTTCTTCTTCTTCTTTTTTTTTTTTTTTTTTTGAGGCAGGGTCTGGCTATGCAGTTCAGGCTTGCCTTGAGCTCACTTTGTAGCCCAGGCTGGTCTCGAATTTGCAACGATCCTCCTGCCTCAGCCTCCCCAGTGCTGGGATTACAGGCGTGCGCCACCACACCCAGCCTTCCTTTTTCTTTTTGCTTTGAGAAAAACGTGTCTTTAACTCCTGGATTCACATAGTACTTCGCCTCTCCAGTAGCTGAGACTATAGGCACGTACCAGGGTGCCTAGTTTATCTGAAGATCTTTTAAGCTGTCCCCTGTGAGGCTTGCATGCTCTCATGAAACAGTCTTTGGAGGTAGACCTAGGTTTTTGAAGTTTTCTGGTGATTCCAATGTGAAGTCAAAGATGTGGACTTCAAGTCTGTTCTTTCTCTCTTCTCTGTAGCTTGGCCAAGTCCATTGAGTGTCCCAGTGCAGGATTCTTTAGGAATGCATGGGCTATCTATTATGTAGCAGAGGCTTTTCCTTAGGTAGATACAGCGAGCTCCTTTTCTTAGGCAGCATGAAAGAATGCAGAGCTGACTTTATGGGAAGTGATACATTCTGCTTTCCAAATAACTAGCCAGTGAAGTTAGTTTTTGCTTTCCCGGATTGGATTGCCTGAGGTAGTTCAGTGCGTACCAAAACTGAAAGTGAGTTGCTGGCTGATTGTTCTGATTTAGTGTTTCTAGTTCCTACATTTGTTTTGTGTTCTTTGGCGCCGGAAAATGAATTTGCCCTTACAGTCAACGAATCAGCAAGCAGAATGTAAGTGCTACCATCTTTCTGCGCCTTGCATAGCCTGTTCTCTTTCCTGTGTCCTCCAGGAGTGCCGGGTGTCAAAGCAGCGCGCTTCGAGGAAGGCATGAGGGTGAAGCACTGTGCCTTGTCCCTTGTGGGAGAGCCGATAATGTACCCGCAGATCAACAGGTTCCTGCAGCTGCTGCACCACCGCGGGATCTCCAGTTTCCTTGTCACCAATGCACAGTTCCCGGAGGAAATCAGGTGAGAGTCCGGCCTGCTGAGCTCGGTGCTTGGATCTGGGCTGGACTGCCGAGTAAAGCTGATAGGCTTTCATATATCCTCCAAGCACGTATTTCCTTGCTACACATAGATGTGGAGCTTTGAGAGGTAGGTGTGCTTTGGCTGACTCGATGCATTCTGATGGGAGGATCACATTAATAAAAGAAGAAAGCGATCACAGTAACTGGCTAGGGGCATTCACAAGAAGATACAGCCCCCACCTCCTTGGGAGAAGCAGGGGGAAACTTTCCAGAGAAATTGTCATTTGATTTGGATGTCAAAACATGGCTAGGGCTGGGCATGGGGATGCACATCTATAATCCCAGCACTGAGGAGGCTGAGGCAAAAGGGTTGTCATGAGTTTGAGGTCAGCTGTACATAGTGAGACCCTGTCTCAAAAAATCAAAAAGCAAGCAAAACAACATGGCTAGGATTGGTACATGGGACTTTAGAAAACTGTACATATTGTTATTTTTTAAAATAAGGAATCTCCTGGAAAGACATGGTGTTAGGGCATTTGTCATAGTCATTATGCCAATACAGTTCGTGGGGACAACAGAGTGTGCGTAAGAGAGTGACACTGGAAACAAACTGGAAATTTTGGGAATAAACCATAGGGGAGACTTCCAGTGCTTCTCTCTTTCTCTCTCTCTCTCTCCCCTCTCTCTCTCTCTCTCTC